GGGGTCCAAGACTGCTCAACTGCCTCCCAGCATACATAAGGGGGATTACCAATATTCCCCAGGGTGTCTTCAAGAAGGCGCTGGACGGGCACCTAAAGTCAGTAGCTGACCAGCCGGGCAGTGGTTCGTACGTCGGTATGCTTGCGGCCAACAGTAACAGCCTGGTTGATCAGTCCCTGATTCACCACGAGGCCTGGTCACGGACCGGGCCACGGGGGCGTTTATTCCCGATAACCCTCTCCAGGTATTCTCCATGTAGGTATACACCACAATGTCTGGGTAAGAGATGTACCCTAACCTGTGTGTGTGTATGTACTCACCTAGTTGAGGTTGCAGGGGTCGAGTTCAAGCTCCTGGCCTCGCCTCTTCACTGGTCGCTACTAGGTCACTCTCCCTGAACCGTGAGCTTTATCGTACCTCTGCTTAAAGCTATATATGGATCCTGCCTCCACTACATCGCTTCCCAAACTATTCCGCTTCCTGACTACTCTGTGACTGAAGAAGTACTTCCTAACATCCCTGTGATTCATCTGTCTTTTCAATTTCCAACTGTGTCCCCTTGTTGCTGTGTCCCATCTCTGGAACATCCTGTCTTTGTCCACCTTGTCAATTCCTCTCAGCATTTTGTATGTTGTTATCATGTCCCCCCTATCTCTCCTGTCCTCCAGTGTCGTCAGGTTGATTTCCCTTAACCTCTCCTCGTAGGACATACCTCTTAGCTCTGGGACTAGCCTTGTTGCAAACCTTTGCACTTAACTAGTTTCTTTACGTGCTTGGCTAGGTGTGGGTTCCAAACTAGTGCCGCATACTCCAATATGGGCCTAACGTACACGGTGTACAGGGTCTTGAACGATTCCTTATTAAGATGTCGGAATGCTGTTCTGAGGTTTACTAGGCGCCCATATGCTTCAGCAGTTATTTGGTTGATGTGCACTTCAGGAGATGTGCCTGGCGTTATACTCACCCCAAGATCTTTTTCCTTGAGTGTGATTTGTAGTGTCTGGCCCCCTAGACTGTATTCCGTCTGCGGTCTTCTTTGCCCTTCCTCAAACATAATGACTTTGCACTTGGTGGGGTTGAACTCCAGGAGCCAATTGCTGGACCAGGTCTGCAGCCTGTCCAGATCCCTTTGTAGTTCTGCCTGGTCTTCGATCGAATGAATTCTTCTCATCAACTTCACGTCATCTGCAAACAGGGACACCTCAGAGTCTATTCCTTCCGTCATGTCGTTCTCAAATACCAGAAACAGCATTGGACCTAGGACTGACCCCTGTGGGACCCCGCTGGTCACAGGTGCCCACTCTGACACCTAGCCACATACCATGACTCGCTGCTGTCTTCCTGACAGGTATTCCCTGATCCAATGTAGTGCCTTCCCTGTTATCCCTGCTTGGTCCTCCAGTTTTTGCACTAATCTCTTGTGTGGAACTGTGTCAAACGCCTTCTTGCAGTCCAAGAAAATGCAATCCACCCACCCCTCTCTCTCTTGTCTTACTGCTGTCACCATGTCAGAACTCCAGTAGGTTTGTGACACAGGATTTCCCATCCTTGAAACCATGTTGACTTCTGTTGATGAGATCATTCCTTTCTAGGTGTTCCACCACTCTTCTCCTGATAATCTTCTCCATGACTTTGCATACTATACATGTCAGTGACACTGGTCTGTAGTTTAGTGCTTCATGTATGTCTCTTTTTTTAAAGACTGGGACTACATTTGCTGTCTTCCATACCTCAGGCAATCTCCCTGTTTCGATAGATGTATTGAATATTGTTGTTAGGGGTACACATAGCGCCTCTGCTCCCTCTCTCAGGACCCATGGAGAGATGTCATCCGGCCCCATTGCCTTATCTAGCTCACTCAGAAGCTTCTTCACTTCTTCCTCTGTTGTGTGTGCTGTGTCCAGCACTTGGTGGTGTACCTCACCTCTCCGTCACTCTGGAGCCCCTTCTGTCTCCTCTGTGAACACTTCTTTGAATCTCTTGTTGAGTTCCTCACATACTTCACGGTCATTTCTTGTTGTCTCTCGTCCTTCCTTCCTTAGCCTGATTACCTGGTCCTTGACTGTTGTTTTCCTGTGTGTGTGTGTACTCACCTAATTGTGGTCGCAGGGGTCGAGACTCAGCTCCTGGCCCCGCCTCTTCACTGATTGCTACTAGGTCCTCTCTCTCTCTGCTTCCTGAGTTTTATCATACCTCTTCTTAAAACTATGAATTGGTTCCTGCCTCCACTACTTCACTTGCTAGGCTATTCCACTTCCTGACGACTCTATGACTGAAGAAATACTTCCTAACGTCCCTGTGACTCGTCTGAGTCTTCAGCTTCCAGTTGTGACCCCTTGTTCCTGTGTCCCCTGTCTGGAACATCCTATCTCTGTCCACCTTGTCTATTCCAAGCAGTATCTTTATGTCGTTATCATGTGTGTGTGTGTGTGTTTGTGTGTGTGTGTGTGTGTGTTTTGTGTGTTGTGTGTGTGTGTGTGCATGTGTGTGTGTGTGTGCGTGTGTGTACTCATCTAGTTGTACTCACCTAGTGTGTGTGTGTGTGTGTGTGTGTGTGTGTTGTGTATGAAGTGCATCGAAACTACAGTGTATGTTGTGTAGGAGGTACACTTACACCACAGTGTGTCAGGTACACTTACACCTCAGTCTGTCAAGAACACTGTGTTGTAAGCGTACGTGACACACTGTGCTGTAAGTGTACCTGACACACTGTGCTGTAAGTTTACCTGACACACTGTGGTGTAAGTGTACCTGACACACTGTGGTGTAAGTGTACCTGACACACTGTGGTGTAAGTGTACCTGACACACTGTGGTGTAAGTGTACCTCACACACTGTGGTGTAAGTGTACCTCACACACTGTAGTGTAAGTGTACCTGACACACTGTGGTGTAAGTGTACCTGACACACTGTGGTGTAAGTGTACCTGACACACTGTGGTGTAAGTGTACCTGACACACTGTGGTGTAAGTGTACCTGACACACTGTGGTGTAAGTGTACCTGACACACTTTGGTTTAAGTGTACCTGACACAGAGTGTTGTAAATGTACCTGACACACTGTGGTGTAAGTGTTCCTGTCAGACTGTGGTGCAAGTATACCACAGTGTGTCAGGTACACTTACACCACAATGTGTCAGGAACACTTACACCACAGTGTGTCAGGTACACTTACATCATATCTGAGTCAGGTTTGCAATCGTGTCATTACGATCTCGTGAGACAGCCAGTCGATAATAATGTCAGACCTCTCTCTCATCTCTCTCTCTCTCTCTCTCTCTCTCTCTCTCTCTCTCTCTCTCTCTTTCTTCTCCTACCACCCCCTATATCCTGTGTGAAGTCAATTTATAAATAAAATACAATAATGAACATACACTAGGATGAACAACATGAACGACATCTCACAGCCTACTTATCAAATACTTCATCCAACTCCCCGGCGGTGGGTCACGTGCCCAGAATACTACAGGCATTTTCCCTTTGGATCGCAAGACTGAGTCGCTGAAAGAGGAAGTTGGACGCTCTGGGCTCCTTCCTTTCTGTGACGAGATTTTTACCTAACTCTTTCAGGAATTTTAGACCACACTTGCCCCCTACTTCAAGGGTCCCCAATCCTACTGGAACGAAGTTATAGGAAGGTGATAGCCCAGTGTATTCCTTGATCTTCTGGGTCTCCCTGAAACTGCTTCCCCATCCCCTTCAACTTCAGAGTGTGGCAAGTAGTTTTCAGCCTTCGTAGAGGCATAGGTGTAGTCCCATGGAATCTGCTTACCATCCTTCCAGGGTAGCATGGTGACTCCATCTGGACGCTTTTAACTTCCACCAGACCACAAGATTCTACTTCACGATCGGAATGTGCTTTCACACTTGATGCTGTACCTTCATCCTGAAGGTTGTACTATCACGTCAAAAAGCTGTGAGAAAGTGAGAAAGTTGTATCTTAATATCTATGCTGTAACCTCACATCAACACAGATCAACACTTCTTTTATTCCCTTTCCTTGTCAACAACTTATCCTCTGATTAAACTAAACTTTAAAGGCAATTTTATTTTCCAACAATCCCTTGTTCATGACGATGACATTTACTACCTGAATGACTCACGAAATCGTAATGACACGATTTGAGACTCTCTGACCGCGGGTTCAAATCCCCCCCGTGGTATGGTTGACTACCTGAACTTCGTGACATTCCCTCTTAACTCGAGGTTTATATTTTAATTCACCTTTCTATCTTAAACTAGCTTTCTGCTCTTCTTAATAAACCTCAAACATATACGAATAAATAAATGTTAACCGATGTTAACCTTCTCTTCCCACTCACATGCGGTCACCAGTCTTCATATGATCTCCCTTGTTATTTGCATCTTTCATTTCTAATGGCAAATCAATCTACTTTGTGTTTTGTTTCTATTCAGGCCCGTGGCCTGGTGGCAAAAGCTCTCGCTTCACACGATGAGGGTCTGGGTTCGATTTCCGGCGATGGGGTGGAAACATCGGTTGTCTATGTTCACCCATCAGTGAAATGGGTACCTGGATGTTAGTTGACTAGTGTGGGTCGCATCCTGGGAGGAAAACTAACCTAATTTGCCCGAAATGCTCTGCATAACAAGCGGTTTTCCATACAGTAGTATGTAATTGATGTCAGTTAGGACTGTATACCTTGTACATGTACTTGTAGTAAATAAAGATATTATTATTATTATTATTATTATTATTATTATTATTATTATTATTATTATTATTATTATTATTATTATTATTATTATCATCATCATCATCATCATCATCATCATCACAGACATTCCCACCATTTTTTATTTTTCCGCTCCTCTTTCTATCGATTCAAAAAAAAAATCTACATTAACCGAATTTTTCTCTTACATTTCCCTTTATTAACAAACTTAGATGTAAATCATTTCCTTAGCGCCCTCCTAGGTAGACCCTCTAATGCAAGCGCAACTGTTTGCCCTATTTCAAGTGCAGTGTGTGATTCCTGACAGACTTCGCGTGACGTCAACGTGCCCTGGACATCGAGTACCCTGGAGCTGGTCATCGGTCCTGAAGACGAAGGCAGCAAACTGACGTGTCGGGCCGAGAACCATGAACTGCCGGCAACTACAATAGAGTCTACGCACCAGCTTCAAGTTCTCTGTGAGTATCAGGGGAAGAGGAGTTCAGGCGAAATGGTGGGCAGTAGTGGGAGCCAGTGAGGTGATGGGAGGTAGTGGAAGACAGGGAGGTAATGGGAGACAGCGAGGTAGTGGGAGACAGCGAGGTAGTGGGAAACAGCGAGGTAGTGGGAGACAGTAAGATAGGGGAAGACAGTGAGGTGATGGGAGACAGTGAGGTAGTGGGAGACAGCGAGGTAGTGGGAGATAGTGAGGTGGTGGGAGACAGTGAGTCGAATCGAATGGAAGAAGACGACGAGAGCTGTCGTGAGATGGGAAGGAAGAAGGATAAGGAAGGATGGAAATAACTGGAAAAGGGTGGGAAGGAGGGGAAGAGGAGGAATCCAGGCAAGTGGCCCAACCACTTTGGGACATGTGGTACCGAAGTACTAGAGGCGTAGATGGAGAGGCTTGAATGATGTCGTTACTTGGCTCTCTAGGAGAGGATGGCGAAGGCAGCGGCAGGAGCTGAGAGTGTCAGTAGACAGCAAGCAGGATGAGTTAGTTATTCTCTTGATCCGGTTGTCAATGCTTTGAATTTTGTTCTAGAGAGTTGTGTCACACATATGGGAGAGCTGTAAAAGAGTTCGTTGGTTTGGAGTTGGTAGATTATCTGGTTGACGGTAGGGAATGGCTTTTCGTCAATGGTGTACGTTGCAGTGTTGTCTTGGAGATGTTGGATAAGTTCTAGGCGAGTCATTGGGCTGGGGTATTGTGTCGTGGTGAAGAACATGAGTCTTTTGTGTTAACCCATAGTGTTCCAGGTAATCGACGTGAGTGAGGTCGAGAAGGCGGTGGTGGAGTTGAGGAAGGTGGTGTTGATGGCGGAGGTAGGGTGTTGAGTGGTGTTGAAGGTGGAATTGAAGATTCGCTGTCATCTTCAATAGACGAATAGGAAGATGTTTCTGGTGGCAAGGCTTCTGATTGGTTGGATTCAGTTAGGTGTGGTGGCGGTGGAGGCTTCTCATTGGACGTTGTTGGAGTGACGTCACTAGTTGGTGGTGGTGATGGAGCTTCTGCAGCAGAGGTGGTGATTAAGTCCTTGGTGAATTTCAGAATTTCTTCAGAAGGTGGAGATGCTGGAAATGTAAATGACGGCATGTTATTTAATACAAATAACTCGTTGATGGTAGAGTTAAAGGATCCAGGTACAGCCATGTTCTGCATGTGAGCGTATAGTAGACAATAGTGGATCTTCGTTACGTCACATGTTGGAGGAGTGATGGTGGTGGTGGAGGCGGGCTGAGTAGATGCTTGAAGTAATTTTGTAGTGTCAGCTTGCAACTTTGCAATTGCGGCATACGTTGGTGTGTTGTTGGTAGATTTTTTCTTTGCTACATCTTGTGTTTTCTTCATTATATCCTTTCTAGTAGGACATTTTGCTGCCAGAGTATGGTGATCATTACTTTTGCAGTTTAAACACGCTGGTTGTGTTGGAGCAGCAGCGGTACAGGAACTGAAGGTGTGTCCCTCACTACCACATGTAGTGCAGAACTTATTGTCTTTTACTGGACATGCTTTGGTGGTGTGAAGATAAGAATAACAGTTCCAGCAATGTTGGATGTAGTGGTATCTCTCTGCCTCTGTGTAGGTGGGACTGATGTAATAGTAGTAAACAGCAAGACCTTCGTTCAGAGCAGTGGCAGCCATGTTCACGTCGGTAAAGGTGACCTTGAGCATAGACGATGCATTCGAGATTTTGGTAATACTGTCAACAGTAGCCCAAGTATTTTGAGTTTCAATAGATGACTTGAGTTCAGCAATTGGTTGAGAAGTCAGAATCTTATCCATTTTTTTCAGGAATACTGATTTCCTTGCCCTGAGAGCAGGAGAAGATGTAACAGTAAACCCTTGGGCAGTAAGAGTAGTGATGGCTTCTGTAGTGAGTAACTTCTCTGCTTCAGCATCATCGTGACACACAACAATGAATGCTTCTTTGAGTGACAGAATAGAGTTGAAATTCACATGCAGTGCTCCCTGCACAACAGTTGCAAGAGCAAGCTTCGTTGAATCATCAACGGTACCACTGTTTGGCTAGATCTTTACACGATTTACGTAGCTCATCGTGCAAGTCAAGGTGAAGACAACGCTGGTAAAGATTTCCCTCCCCATCGGGGATCGTAGGGAGACTGAGTAAGTAAGGAGAGCTGCAATGACCTGCCGAGGCGAGAGTCAAAAGCAGACTCTCTGTGACTTCGAGACAGTGAGGTAGGGGAAGACAGTGAGGTAGTGGGAGACAGTGAGGTAGTGGGAGACAATGAGGTGGTAGGAGTCAGTGAGGTAGTGGGAGACAGTGAGGTAGTGGGAGACAGTGAGGTAATGGGAGACAGTGAGATGGTAGGAGACAGTGAGATAGTGAGAGACAATGAGGCAGAGGGGGGTAGTGAGTAGTGTTGGATAGGGGGAGGATAGTAGAAGGTGGAGGGTTGACCTGTGTAAGGAGTGGAAAGAATTTAAAGAAGATAGTCAGAGATTGTCGGTGATGGATTTTTGCAACGAAAAGTTAGTAAATACTAGGAACCCTTTTATCCTCACTGCATCAATAATTAATGTGTGATATCTAACCGCATTATAACGTCCCTAGAGTATCTTGCACAGTCATCAAATGTTTTTAATGACTAAAACAAATGTGCAACAGCTGGGTCCAGCTTTTGCACATTTATTGTCCAAACGGTAACTTCCATTAGTCAGATACAGAATAGAATGTAATGTATGCAGGAGGAGGCAATCACTCCAGCCAGACTGAGGGACTGACCACATCAAACTACTTCTATTCCACTATAACTACGTTATTGTGTCTAGAAGCCCTAACAATTTTGTCCCAAACAAATTTCCCTCTATCGTGATCCAAGCCTGTATATTACACCTTGAATTAGTTTTTCTTGACCTTCTAGAAACTTTACCCTAACAGATTCTGTTACTGATCCATCTATTTTTATACCTGTTTTCATGCAATAGTTTATATTTTCTCGTACATATAATGCAACTCCACCCACTTTCCCGTTATATCCATCTACATGGAACAACTTAAACCCTTGAATATGACACTCAGCAATCATATCCCGACTCATTAATTTATATACCACGTTACAGTTATTGCAATAACATCAAAGTTCCCAGCACATGCTAACAAATGTAATTCATTAATTTTATTTCTGGCGCTTTGACAGTATAAAATACATTAATATGTTTCTTTCTTGTAAAACTTATTCCTATTCAGCTTGTCTTTTACACAATTTCTGTTGCTATCATTACCCTGTGTTACTCGATGACTGTTATTGTTAAGACTTTTGATATGAAAGCCTAAATCAATATTTCGTTACTCATTATTTTCCATTCCTAAACCCATACCTCTAACTAATCCTAGTTTAAAGCTCTAGCATCCTCAACTGAGCTAGCGAAAAAACTCACACCTGCCCTGGATAAGAGAACCTGGCATACATGTCATTTCGGCCATAGAAGTGGTCCCAGTTGTCAATGAATGGTTACTGCATTATCCATACAGTGTCTGTTCTGCCAGCAATGTATACCAGTCGCTCTGGATAGTCATTCATTTCCAACACCACTTCTTGGCAAAATGCCACATATGACAAGGCTCCCTCCCTTCCTAATAATGCCTATTGCTGCCCTATACCTTCTAACCAAATCCTATCCTTCAAACAGAAGGCCCTATCCATGCACCTAAACTGACTGTCCCCAACAAGCACAATATTCTTACCTTCCTTGTTGTTCTTCACTGTGATGCTCCCGGTAGTCGACTCACATTCGTCTGGTAGCACAGAGAAAGGATTCGAAGTTTCCACAGCAGTCTCTTGATTCTTTATCATTTCTACTTCTCCATTCGTCCTCTTGATCAACAACTTTGTTCCATGCTGTCCGGTAACTGCTTAGGTTTCTTTCTTGACCTGAGGACTCACAACAGGACGGCTACTACGAATCCTCTTTGTTTTCCTCCATCAATCCCTGTATCTCGAGCTTAGCCTCCCTTAGCTCCTTCTTAAGCTGCTGGTAAAGTTGCTCAATGGAGTAATCATGGTTCAGTCCACAAAGAGTACACTAGACACGTCTTCACAGGTACAAGTCCTCTTTTCTCTACCAATATGTGTTTTATTCTACTATTAATCTCTCTAGGGTCATTCCTATTTGACATAATTTCTCCCTGGGGAATATATATACTATGTGCACGTTGTAAATTATTAAGAACAAATTAATAATATACAAAGAAGCTGGAAAAACAGTAATGGTTTACCAAGAAACAAGTCTGAGCTGAGGAGCATGAACTGTGTGGAGAGGCTGGAGGAGCTACGTCTAACCATATTAGAAGACAAAAGAACGAGAGGTAACATGATTACGACGTTCAAAATACTGAGAGGAACTGACAGGGTGTGCAGTGCGAGAGTGTTTGAGAGGCGGGTCTCCGGTACATAAGAGCACAGCTGGAAATTTAAAACACAGATAAGTCACAGGGATGGTAAAAAAAAAAACTATTTTTGTTTTAGTGTTGTCGGGAAGTGAACTAGAAAGCGAAGTGTTAAACAGGATTCATACATAGTTTTAAGTATAGGAATGAGTGGGCTGACCTCTATAACCAGAATTAGGTGAGTACACTAACACACACATACACACGCGCGCGCGCGCGGAGCCAGGAGCTATGAATCGACCCCTGCAACCACACTTAGATGAGTACAATTAGATGAGTACACACACAATCCATTCATAGCTTTAAGAATAAGTATGATAAGGCTCACGTAGCAGAGAGAGAGTGAAATCAGTAGCGGCCAACAAGAAGCAGGACCAAGAACTAAGAGTCATGTATAATTATATGATTATACAGAGCCTGGGGGGGGGGATGTGGAAGGCATTCAGGCTTAATTCGGGGAACTTGAGCACAGATCCAATTCCCTAAATCAAGAGCCCCTCACCAACATCAAGGAACCTTCCTTGAGGGGTATGAATAGCACAAACGTCAGGACGATGGCCAGTCTGAGGGTAGTTAGGATGGACGGCAGTGTGGACGAGGAAGTATTGAAGCAGATTATTACACAGTCTTAATTAAACGTAAGTATGATATAAGTCATACAACTAGGAATTAGACTTGACCTTTCGTGTGTAGTTGAGTGGTGAGATCAGATACTGAAGTGTGATTTTATGAACCACCAGTAAGGGAGTGAATACATTCTGTACAAAGTTCTTTTAACCATTTTATAATCTCTGAGAAATAATAACTTCTGTTAACAGTTACTTCCTCTCTCTCTCTCTCTCTCTCTCTCTCTCTCTCTCTCTCTCTCTCTCTCTCTCTCTCTCTCTCTCTCTCTCTCTCTTTCACAGACTCTCCGGAGGTTCATGTGGCTGCCGGCTCTTCCCTCGACCTCAACCACATCAAGGAAGGCGACGATGTGTATTTCGACTGTCACATAAAAGCCAGACCGGACGCACACAAAATCAGCTGGAGTTTTAATGTGAGTACTATCCTTCACTGCCTTCACTGGTTTTAATATTAAGTGTAGAAAAGGAACTGGATGCCATGGAATAGGAATTAAGTGCCTTCATATTTTATGCAACAGAAACTATACTAACGATCCTTGTATGAGCTAATATATTATATCCCATACATATAACTATATATAAATACCAACTCACTCAATACTATACTGAGAAGATTAAAACAAGTAATAACCATTAAAGTATCAACATATAAGGTAACCTTAATAGGAGGTGGTAATCTTCCTAAGGTATGTTTACAACTAGTAACATATGCTGCTTAACTACCCTCCAATATATTCTACGTATCGCAGTATAATAAAAAATATCCAGTGAAGAAAGTGAATAGGAAAACCTGGGTCCTTTCACATGTTTACGCATATATTTTCAAAGGTATAGGTATATTTCATGAAATGTTCCTCTAAAGACATGTGTGTAATTACATGAAAGCGCTCAGGTTTTCCTGTATATTTTTTCACAGGTAGATTTTTTTTTATATTTGCAGACACGTATTTTACTGGGACATCTTCCATAGCTCAGTATACACCTAATCGAGCAGCTCATCAGTCCAAGCTTCCCTCCTCTCTCAGCTCACCAGGAGAGAGTGGAGACCAATCTGCTTTATTAATCTGCGATTTGCTCCCTCTTCTCACTCTCTCTTACAAAAATTTTTCAGCTAATAAGATTGAAAGTGAATTTTTTCCATGGTAATTCTTAGCCATTTTTCAATGTTATTTTACAGTTATTTTCCTGAACAATGGCCTGGGAGGGCTACTGGGAGGGGTTCTTGGTATATTACGATTTGTGGCGTCTCTTGAGTCCCTCTTGCATATTCTGAGATTACATAACTCTTCCATCGCTCTTCGGGCACTGAAGCTAAAACCTACACCATTAAACTCTCATTTTGAATATTTTTCATCATTTTACGTGGAAGGAAACATACTCTCTCTTAAAAAAATGCTAAGTGTTAGCAGCATCTGCAAATGATTTAGGATTGAAGACATTTTTACCACCAATCTTTAACCCTTAACACTCCTTAGCTATTAATATATAAGAAAAAGCTAATTACTTCAAATTTTTACTCTGAAATAACTACTTTTTTCTTAAAAGAAAGTTAACTTTCCAGTTTCTTCCCGAGCCATTTTCACCCACAGTCAGAACTGAGTAATTCCGCTCTTGAACTTCTGCTTTCCAAGGGCTTTGAACTTTCACAATCTGAGTTCAGTCTGAGCTTTAGCGGGACAACTCCTAGAGCCCCTAGCAACCTCCTACCTACTTTTGTTCACATTAGCACGCATTCAGAATTACACACTTAAGAGACTAGGTTCTAGGCTCACTCAGACATCCCTGACTTACTAGAGGATAGAGCATATATTACTAGACCTATTGCACATCAGAATGATAATGTATCACGAGGTGTGATATCAAAATTGAACAGGTATTCCATTACTGTCTTCAGAAATTATATTTGTACCTTCTCTGTGACTGTCGATTAATTCCATCCCTAAATCCGAGCTGGTTCCTGACTATGGAACTGAACTTCTCCAGGCTGAGGGACTGACAACCTCAAATTCTACGACTTCAAGGGTGATGGACTGATTACATCGTCTTCACATCTCTACTGTTCCTGCCTACTTTCTGTATTCGACTGAAGAAGCCTACTGTGTAGGCGAAACGTTTAGGAATAAAGTTACCTAACTGTTGCCTATGTGTCTTACCTACCAAAGAATCTTCTATTTAGGTGTTCCAATATCCTCTGAAAGTATTTGTTTTGTTACTTAGGGGCTCTTGTCTATCCCCTTCAGCGATAATGTAAATGATATGTAATACCGACAAGTTGAAGAGTAAGACACATGTTGGGTATTTTTATTGTTTACATCGCTACTACGACTGCTGCTTCCATTTTAACGTCCTCTGTATTTGGCTGGAGTAACCTACTGCTTATGTGAAATGTTTCAGTCAAGAATCAAGACACATTATCTTCATCATATTTGTGTGTCACAGCAACACAATGGTTTTTGGTATAGAGGATATTTATTGTAGCTTCATTTTGTACCTCTGTATGTGTGCTCAAATTGGAAATAAATAAATAAAAAAAAATAACTACTGGGTGTGAGTGAAAAGGGTGAGGATCGAGAGGGACGTGACCAGTACGGACCAGTAGTGATGAATGGTTTGAAAAACCGACAAGTTGAAGATTGAGACACTTATGCAGCATATGGGAATCTTTATTCAGGAAACGTTTCGCCACACAGTGGCTTCATCAGTCCAATACAAAGAGGAAGGCGTAAGGAGAGGAGGAGTATGAGGTAATTAGTCCCTCAGCCTGGAGTCGATGTGTTCAGTCCATCAATCTTCTACAATATTGATGGACTGAACACATCGACTCCAGGCTGAGGGACTGATTACCTCATACTCCTCCTCCTTACGCCTTCCTCTTTGTATTGGACTGATGAAGCCACTGTGTGGCGAAACGTTTCCTGAATAAAGATTCCCATATGCTGCATAAGTGTCTCAATCTTCAACGGACCAGTAGGCCTGCTGTAGTGCTCCTCAAATTTTTGCCCTCTTGCTTCTACTAGTGGTTCCCACATACTGTAACGTCTTCTAGACTTTCACGCCTCACATTCGGCAGTATAAGGTTCCATTATGCTTCAGCTTCACTTTGTTGGAAGTAAATAGTATAAAATACCGACACAATGGAAATATAAACACGTGCAGTATAAGGTGAGCCTGTATTGACAACGTTTCGCCCATATAGTGGGTTTTATTAAGTCACAAACAGATCTTCTTGGGTGAAACATGCGTGAGTATTTATAGGATAAGAATGCTGGGTCAGGTGGAGAAAGCTGCACGTGACAATCTTCGGAGTAGAGTGATAGAGTCTAAAAACTTGGGTAGCTTTTAAAAGAGATTGGATAAGTATATGAGAAGACCTGCAGTGTTCCTCGATTCTTATGTTCTTATGTAGGATAGCGATGAAGAAGTTTCTTGGCAATGATATCAAAGTTCCCAGCACATGCTACCAAACGTAGTTCATTAATTTTATTTCTTGCACTTCGGCTGTTAGCATAAAATACCATCATATGTTTTTTCTTCTGCACATTTTTCCTATTGATCTTTGTTTTTACACAATTTCTGAAATTATCATTACCCAGAGTTACTCTATGACAGTTACTATTAAGATTCTTAATATCAGAGCATAAGTCAATATATCTATACTCATTATTTATCATTTTTAAACTCATACCTCTAACTAATCCTAGTTTTAAGTCCTAACAACCCCCTCAACTGAGTTAGCAAGAAAACCCACACCTGCCCTGGATAAGTGAACCCCATCCCTGGCATACATGTCATTTCGGCAATAGAAGTTGTCCCAGTTGTCAATGAATGGTACTGCATTATCCTTACAGTGTTTATCCAGCCAACAATTAATACCAATTGCTCTGGACAACCATTCATTACCAACACCTCTTCTTGGCAAAATGCCACATATAACAGGGCGCCCCCCCCCTTCTTCCTAATTATGTCTATAGCTGTTCTGAACTTTCTAACTAAATCCTCACTTCTACGCTTGCCTACATCATTGCCTCCATCACTGAGGCAAATAATAGGATTGATCCCATTACCGTTCATGATGTTGTCAAGCCGGCTAACAATGTCCTCCATCCCAGCCCCAGGAAAGCAACCCCTCTGTCTCCTACTCCTGTCCTTCAAGCAGAATGCCCTATCCATGTATCTAACCTTACTATCCCCAACAACAACAATATTCTTACCTTCCTTGTCGTTCGTCGTGACGATCCCAGTAGTCGACTCACATTCGTCGGGTAGCACCGAGAATGCGTTTGAGGTTTCCACAGGAGTTTCCACAGCAGTCTCTTTCTTCTTCATCGTTTCTGGCTTTCCATTCGTCTTCTTGATCGTCAACTTCGTCGTCCCCTGCTGTCCAGCCACTGACCACGATCCCTTCTTGACCTGAGGACTCGAAACAGGAGGACTACTACGAATCCTCTTGTTTTCCTCGGTCAATCGCCGTATCTCCATCTTCGCTACCCTCAATTCTTCCTTAAGTTGCTGGTAAAGTTGCTCGATGGAGGGCATCTTGGTTCAGTCCACGGGGAGCACACAAGACACTTCTTCACAGAGTTAAGTACAGGTCACCACTGAGTTAAGTACAGGTCACCACTGAGTTAAGTGGTGTTGCATAAGTGTCTCAATTCTTCAACTTGTCGGTTTTCAAAACCATTCATCACATGACCTATGGACTTCTGTTGCTTACACTTCTTGATATAAATCCCAGTAATCTATTTGCCTTATTACGTACGCTTAGGCATTGCTGTCTTGGTTTAAGGTTGCTGCTCACCATAACCCCCAAGTCCTTTTCGCAATCTGTATGGCTAAGTTCTACATCATTTAACTTATAAGTACTAGGGTTATGGACACTCCCGAGCTTCAGAACCTTGCATTTATCTACATTGAACTGCATCTGCCACTTTTCTGACCAAGAATAGAGTTTGTTTAAATCCTCGTGAAGTTCCATAACATCTACGTTTGAATCAATTATCCTACCTATCTTTGTGTCATCGGCGAATTTGCTCATATCACTAGTAATTCCCTCATCAAGATCATTGATATATATTATACACAACAACGGGCCCGAGACTGATCCCTGTGGAACGCCACTTGTTACAGATCCCCACTCGGATTTAACCCCATTTATGGACATTCTCTGCTTCCTGTCTGTGAGCCATGACTCGATCCACGAGAGCACTTTTCCCCCAATACCATGAGCTGCCACTTTCTTTAACAGTCTATGGTGCGGAACTCTATCAAAAGCCTTACTAAAATCTAAGTAAATAATATAAAATTCTTTATCGTGGTCAACAGCCTCAAAAGCTTTACTGAAGAAAGTTAATAAATTAGTTAGACAAGACCGGCCTCTTGTGAATCCATGCTGAGTATCATTAATCAAGCTATG